GTACGTCTGACGTGCGACCCGTGGGTTATACGATCTCATGCATCCAAAAACGGTGACCGGCCCGTGCGTCGCACAGTATGAGCCAATTGCTGATTGCAACCTATATTTTTTATAAATTTTGCTGTCGATTTCCGCTTTCTAAAAGCAAATCCTGCAAATATCCAAAGCTGGAATTAGTGGGAAATCCATATGCTTGGCCACAATGACTTTTTCCAGCGGTATTCCACTTTCTCATTTACAGCCAAGATTATTATAACCAGGTAAAGCCATCATACACGATTTGGTTGGTACAAACAGTTTTTACTCGAGCATTATTCTACACGGAAATCGCAGAATTCTTTTCATCTTGTTCCTTCGATTGATTATTGCAGTAGTGTACTGTACCTTCCATGGGAGATGTGTTCGTCGAAACGAGTAATGTAGCCTTTGAATACTTAAGAGTTTGATCATACTTCTCGGTTGCCCAAGAAGTTTTCTGCAAATTTCCTTGTCGAGCTGTTTTCAGGTGCAAAAATAAAAAGTAAAACAGCAATTTTTGAAATACTAAGTTGCTCATGCATGATATGCGCACCTATCGTTGCTTACGTTTACTGTATAATAGGTTGCTTGAAAACTCTATTCTAACCTGAGGGTGATGTAGAGGATAATTGTTCGAATAATGTGTAGAAGGAAGACGCAAATTAAAGTGCATTAGGAGCATCTTATCAGCTAATATCCATCATTTGGTTTATCAGCAATAACTAGATATATTCAAGTTAGCAAACAAATGCAAGTATGAGAGACCTCATTCGTTCAAGTCCTCAGCGGGTTTTGCCGAGGTAGATGACTAACATATTCATTTGGCACTGAGTTCTATTTTTTTTGCTTTAGTTTCCATCCAAAACTTCCCTTTGAGCACATGTATGTAGGTCTCCTTCAAAACATCCTTCTTATTCTCATCAACTTGCCTCTTCAATTTGGGCTTGTTTGTGCAAAAGCCTCAAATTTGTCCTGTTTAGGGGCAAACTTTAAAGTTGTGCTTTCAAAACGTGGCTTCTTTTGAATATCCACCGATTGTGCATATGCACGAGATTAGTTAAAGGGCACAATGTATGACAGATCGCCTTGATACGTGTTGATGCAGCCATGTAGGAGGTATGATTTTATTAGAGATGTTTTGGCTGACTAGTGAGCTAGTAAGCAGGAAGCAAAAGTCATCAGCGCCAGTTTGTTGTCGTGTATGGATCAGGTCTCTGAAAATTCCCAAGTCAGCAACGTATCTTCATGATTTTTTTTTGAATACTTTCAAAAATACTGCTTTTGTGATAGTTGAAGAAAGGAAATTGTTGGAACTTACACACTTTTTTGGGTGTTTGACCAGACGAAATATTTCTTTTTGAAGACAGTTTGATCTAGAAACCTTTTCCTACTCTAAAAATCCTCAGTACTCGTTTCTCAGATCAATTGCTTCAGTTTCTATTTTCGAGTGAAGGTATGGAGTGTCGAGTTGGCAGTAAAACAGTACTTTTGACAGCTATTTCTCCGTTTTTTCTAGTCATGTAAGCACAGTTTTTTAAGAACTTTAATTGCAAAATTTTCCAAAAAATAACGTTATTGCCCACGATTTTGTTTTGAAAAAGTCGATCAGCCAATTTTTGAGACCCCCCTCAACCAAAAGTTGCACGTTGCACATAATTGAGTGTACCTAGAAAAAAATGCTAATTCATTAAACCAAGATCCGAAGTATTGAAAGTTTAAATTGTTTCTAAAAGACCCCCAACAGATTTATGGTTTCAATATATGGATGTCCCATATGTCGAAGATGCTTTTAAAGTTGGTGAACCATTCCTTAGCCCAACTTCAGCGCAAAGCATCTTCTGCATACACGAAACAGATGGCGTTGCTAACTTTTGACCTCGAGTAAAGGCAAAAATTGGAAAGGAGTCAAGTATGCTATTTTTGACTTAAACTTCTGTTTCTCACCTCAAAATTAACACAACATCAGTTTACAATACCACCCATAACTTGCGCAAAAAAATGTGATTTCACAAAAAAATCCGCTGCGAAGCGTCGCATCGTCATAATTGCTTCCAAAATAAATATATC